GGGGGGGATTCGCAGGAGCTGCCTTATCAGGCGCTTAGTACTATAGTCCTATGCCACCTGGCTAATATCTCCCTATGTGTGTATGCCTGCGTGTGTGCTGGAGATGTATTGATGTACTTAGGATATCATTAATAACGTACTACTTGTCAGATAATTATATAAAATGACAATACGTCATAACTTTTAAGTCACCCAAGTCATTACCGTGAAGTTTTTTAAGTTCCAGATTTTAATTGTACAATTTATTACAGCTGCATTCTAGCTTCGCGCTAGGAGGGAATTTCACTTTAGCTCAGTGGTAGAGCAGCGGACTATGAAGCAGAGGATCGCAGGTTCGATCCCAAGCGGGATGAAACTACTCTCTTTCCTGTTACAAAAGTATCCTCAGTGTATAACCACTTGTGCAGTTGTTGTTTTTTCCTGCTATTTTATTGGCTGTTGAATGCCAAGGAAATGTGACATGTATGATACGACGCAAACATTGGCATTGTATAACGTCAAATCTTTGCCGTGTTGAATGGATTACCAGGATTAGTACCATTTTTCTTCGCTAGACTGTGTTGTACTGTGTTTTTGAAGCGAAGTCTGGGGGAGTACAGTGTAGCGGACCTGGACTGGTCTGGGTCGGTCGTTGGAGACCAGATAACTCAATTGGTATAGAGCGATCATCTAGAGTTTGGAAGGTCAAGGGTTCGAACCCCTCTCTGGCCGTTACATTTTATCTTTCTCGTGTTGTTTCAAGCATTAGCTGTATGATTGGCAAGGGGATACCCGAACCAGGGGTTGTAAATAATTGTGTCTTCGGGGGCGAAGACTTAGAAAAAGGAGGGAGGAATGTAGCGGAACTGGGCTGGGTCGATCGTCCGCGACCAGATAGATCAATTGGTAGATCGTCCGTCTAGAGCTCGGAAGGTCCTGAGTTCGAACCCCGGTGAAGCCGTGCATTTTCCTCTCCTGTTGCAATAGTAAAACTACGATAGGCAATCTAGTCTACATATGTTTGCTTTATAAAAAAAAATGTAAATTAAAAACGCAAGCGATCGTCATGTCAAAGACAGAAGTTAGCATGTCATAATTTCGTTTGTAAGTTAGTCCTTCTGTTAATCCGTTTGGGTCAATTTACCTCATATTTTAAGGTTCCCTTTCCCACTGAATTGTGGGTTTTAGCCCAACTTGCCCGAAGGGCCATGTGAGCTTATGCCGTACTGCGGCGTCCGTCGTCCGTCCGTCTGAACAACTGGAGGACCTAGGGTCATGCTATTTGGCCAGTAGATACCTGGGATGAAGTGCTATAAAGTCTCCTCATTAAAATGACCTTGACCTACTTTCAAGGCCACAGGGGTCAGATATATTAAAACCTTAAAACAACAATATCCTGAGAACCATTTGGACTGGAGTCATGATACTTGGGTATGTTATGCAGACCAGCAGTGCAATTCGTTTTCTTTATTACAGTATTGAGGTCTAAGGTCAACTTTAAGTGCTAGTCGGGGGTCAAACGTCAACATAGGTTAATCAATTAACAATCTTCTTCTCAAGTTCCATAAGGCACAGGGTCGTGATATTTGGCAAGTAGGTACCTGGGATAGAGTGCTGTAAAGAGTACTTATTAAAATGACATTGACCTACTTTCAAGGTCACAGGGGTCAAATATGTTTAAAACTTCAAACAACAATATCCTAAGAACCATTTGGACTAGAGTCATGGTACTTGAGTATGTTATGCAGACCAGCAGTGCAATTTATCTTTACTTTATTACAGTAATGAGGGCCAAGGTCAACTTTTAGTGCTAGATTTGGTCGGAAGTTACCTATATGTCAGTGTCATATAACAAAAGGAACAGGTGAGCGATACAGGTCCTCTGGGCCTCTTGTTCATACAAACATTTTTTGTTGCAAAGTTGGACCAAATAGCCTAGTCATTTAAAGGGATAGCATTACAATCTGAAGTCCAGGGTTCGAACTCCAGCCAGGTCCCGCTGATTTTTACACTCATAGCACTGTGGTTGATTATGTTTGGTTTACTTTATCTTCATTTTTTATACGCCCGTCGGGGTATTATGGTACATGTATAGCGTCTGCGTCCGTCCGGTTAAAGTTTTGGGGCAAGTTTCTTTAGTGCTGTACAGTTCAGTCAGATCATGTGTTGTCTTAATTTTTGGCATGGATGTTCATGTGGGGTCTAACAAGGACAATTATAGATATAATTTGGGAAAATAATTTCTATTTTTGTAAATATTGGACGTGTTTGCGACTTAAGCATTAGTGCAAGCCTTTTTATCACATAGATATGACACTGGATACCAGGTACATGTACTTTAAATATCAAACAAACAAAAAATCATTGGATAGGGTCAGACGGGCGAAATTATGCATCCGTTTGCGGTGCTCTTGTTATCTTAGATTTGCAAGGTATGGTTTTCTGTTTCATTATTAAATTATTAATCACAACTAAAGGCACGTCCGCAAAAATAAATCCCGATGCTTACAGTATATACAGGTTAGGCAGTGGTACAGGGATCCTTAATGACGTAAAAATCTTTTCTATCGATAAACAAATTTCGAAAAATCAAATTAAACCATCTATAGAATAGTATTTTCCAGAATGAACATGAATGTCTGCCATTAGTTTTGGATTAATTGTTTCATGTGGTGAAATAACAGTGACTCAATGAGAACATTTGTTGCAGATCAAAAGGTAACACACATCTTCGACATGAAGTTACCCACGGCTGTGTTTGGTGAGATCCACTCAGTTGGATAAACGCCGATCCTGAATTGGCAGTGACGTTGGAGAATCTCGAACGGAGTGTGCATGGTATGAAGCCGAACGTTACAAGATGGTATCGCGCTGTAACACGAAAAGGTGCCATGCTTCAGAAGTTTTAAAAATCATCAATATATCATGAAGTGGTTATCTTCGTTTACTTTTACTGTCCACGAAAACTTATTTTTGATTAACATGCGAGTCCTGGGTCCTGTACCGAAGGATTTTGATTTGACCGATAGAAATAATTATTACAATACTGAAATGTAACATGGCGGGACTCATGTCTTTTAACCATACAGTGGAAACGACACATACAAACATATATACATTTTTTTTTGTAATAATGCATATTGTCAATAATTTATTGTTTTAGGGTGTGCCGGTGGCTGAGTGGTTAAGGTGTCTGATGCCTACATGTATGTTCTGGGTCGCAGGTTCGAGGCCTACGTTGGGCCGTGGTGAGGGAAAAACCCGCAGGTAGGTGTTTTTTCTCCAGATTCTCCGGCTTTCCTCCACCACCAAAACCGAACACGTCCTTAAATGACCATAGCTGTTAATAGGACGCGTAAAGCACACGCACAAACCAAACTTTTGAAAAGATTTTAAGTTGCTTTTAGATTATTTGTTAAAAATTCTTATTTTGATGGTTTGAAAATGCTTATATAGGCCATTCTTGTTTGTAGTTTTCCTACTCGCATTCTGTACCCTAGATAAGTAGACAGTGATTCTTTTTCATTTTTTTCTAGAAATAATTTTCTATATCAAAGCGCTATATATATATATTTCAGTGAATTGCTTCAGTAGATAATTAAAACTATAAATAACATAAAAATAAATAAGACAATAGTTTGATTAGGTGTCAGTTTAAGGGAGTTGATCGGGAAAATGAAAACAAACAATTTTTAAGGATGGTTTGTTCCCCTGTATCTTTTGTGGTTAAATCTCTATTTTGGTCTGATTAACGTATAATAGTAATAATTGAAAAAAGCAAAGTGTTCAGTATTTGAGGAGGGTCAGGAAGTTGACATGTATGCTGGTTCATGCAGTTGTCAACGTATCATTGCACCTCATAATGTTGTTCATCCATTCGGTACTGTTTTAAAGTTTTTCTGTGATGTAAACCATTGAGAATTCGTTACAGTATAGCTATGTTTGTATCCTAATTAAACCGATAGGTTCAGAGTCTTAATAGATGTTTTGGGGTTTTAGATCAGCCCCCACCTCCCCCACCTCCCCCACATGGAACATTGTTTCCCCTAAACTATCAAATGTTACTTCGAACGAATCAGTTTAGGTCCAAACATAGCTTTACAGTAACAAATTATCATGTCCATGTGCTTTAAACAAACTAAATTGAGAGTTTGTTTACAAATTGCACCTCATCCTTGAATTCGGGAAGAGAGGCGTTCTCCCGAGTATTGTTTTTCTACCTGTGTCCTGTATAAAAGTGTTTGAATTGGTGTCATTTGTATACAATTATACCTCATATCTATTCATTCAAATATTTTCCAGTATGACGAATCGTTGAGTGCCTGTCACCGTCATTGGATGTTATTACCTCAGGCGTGCCCTGTCCAGTCCAGCCCAGCCCTGTCCAGTCCAGCCCAGCCCCAGCCCAGCCCGGCCCAGTTCCGTTCCTGCCTTCCGTGCCCTGTCCAGTCCAGCCCAGCCCAGCCCAGCTCCTGCCTTCCGTGCCCTGCCAATCTTCAAATTCTAGTTCACAATTGTAATTTGAGAAAGACATGAAGATTCATATGGTAAATAAATCTTTATAAAAAGTTACAAAAACGTTTTACTCATCTACGGGTTTCATCACATATAGACCTAATGCTGAAGCTGGAAGCTGGCATAGACCTAATCCCATACCTGAAGATTTACGATTCATTATTTCCATGTTCATGAATAACAATTTGTTATGTAAAGCCCATTATACTCTGAAATAAGGTCAACTATTTTATTTAGGAAATAAAATTAGTAATCTTGAATTTAAAATTACATTAAAATATCCTTCGCTTACAATGATGTAACATTTTTTTAAATGCTGTTGTTTTGATTTACTTACAGCAGAAATGTTTTGAAAACAATTACGTGTCTGGTGTTTTTTCCGTTTTATTTTTAAGATGTTTATTACATAAGACGAACAGGAAGACCTTTGCTTATATGGGGTATCCAACTATGCACTTTAGTAGAGATGTTCCCCAAAAGCTGTGAGCAAAACCACTGCTAGAATGTCCTGCAAAAAGTACAGTACAGTGTGCTGGAACAGTGTAAACAAGTGTGCTGGGACCGTGCTCGAAATACACTCCACAGACAGAAAGAGCTATATATATTGCCATTGGAAACCAGATTCAGAAGTCTAGAAGAAGTCGCCAAAATAGTTTATATGTTGAAGTTTGTGAAATGCAAATACATTTTTGTGATCTAGTGGTATTACTATATGTCTAAAGACAGCATACACATGTTTGAATATGCGATACATTAAATAAATAAAATTTATTGAATTGATTTGTGTCATCCTGAATAACACCTGTATGACCCCGATTTACAAGCGTTTGATTAAAACATATTTTATTGTGGCACTGTAAAACACTGGCTTATGATGTAACTGTAGTTTCATTTCTAGTGGTCATTCAGAAATTTTGTAGTTGCTGGTATATATGATGTTTTAGTATTTGAAAGTATTAGCATTCGTTTTACTTGTATATCTCTTTCTGACGCTAAATTGTAATCTGCATCAATAAGGGTGTTTTTGACAATCTGCATCATTGAAACGCTTGTAAATTCATGGTCTTCAGTGCGTTTTAATTTGTCATCTGGGTCTTTCTGACGCTCTTTTTGACAATCTGCATCATTGAGACGCTTTAAAATCATGGTCTTCAGTGCGTTGTAATTGGTCAACTGGGTCTTCCTGACGCTTTATATCAATCTGCATCAATGGAACGCTTGAAAATCATGGTCTTCAGCGCGTTTTAATTGGTCATCTGGGTCTCTTTGACGCTCTTTTTCAATCTGCATCATTGAAACGCTTGTAAATTCATGGTCTTCAGTGCGTTTTTATTGGTCATCTGGGTCTTCCTGACGCTTTATATCAATCTGCATCAATGGAACGCTTGTAAATCATGGTCTTCAGTGCGTTTTAATTACTCATCTGTGTCTTTTTGACGCTTTTTATCAATCTGGTTCAATGGAACGCTTTAAATCATGGTCTTTGGTGCGTTTGAATTGGTCATCTGGATCTTTCTAACGCTCTTTTTCAATCTGCATCATTGAAACGCTTGTAAATCTGCATCAATGAGACGCTTTAAAATCACGGTCTTTCATGCTTTTCTTATCTTCATCATTTTAAAATCAAGCGGAATTTTTGGATTTTCAGTGACAATCTTGGTCTTTCAGACGCTTTATTCAAATATGCAACTCTAAAACGCTTGTTAATAAAACGTGAGAAAGAACCTATTTTAACGCTTGTTAATCAGTGTCGTTCAGACCTTCAATGTCGTCTTGTCGGGCCAAGCTCAATTAGAAAAACTAATACAAAAATTTATAAATTTAACGCCAAAACATGTGTATGGTTATTTTGATAAACTAGTATGTCCTGTATTGAGTTACGGATGTGAAGTTTGGAGTTACTGCACTTGAAATTGTAAGCTTGGAGTTAAATCTTCTACGCAAAACAATTTTGTTTATGGAGAACTAGGTTGTCTTCCCCTTAAATTTAAAAGACACGTTAAAATTATGAAATATTGGTTAAAAATTGTTCATCAACAGAAGAACGTTTTAGTCCATGGTGAGCTTTATACACGAGCGGAAACGTCACGTGTGATAAATTGGGCAAAGTTTTATTATGTACTTGTGGTTTCGGATATGTATGGATTGAACAAGGAGTTGGAGATGAAAAAGTATTTTTAGAATTATTTCGAACCAGAGTGAGGGACATTTTTATACAGGATTGGCATAGTGCTCTTGTTGACTCGTTAAAATTTTCGCATATCTGCCCATAGATGGCATAGACCTAACCCAATACCTGCAGAAATGCGATATTGTAGTGCGTTTACTAAAATTGAAGATGAATATCATTTTGTTATGGAATGCCTGTTATACTCTGAAATTAGATCAAAATTTTTGAAAAAAACTTATTACTGTAGACAAATTCGTTGAAATTGTTTCTTCAGAAAGCAATTTTTATTATTAGAAATTTAGCTATGTTTATTTACAAAGCAAATGAAATTAGACATGGAATTTTGTTTAATTTGTAAATCAAATCAATTCCTTGCATCCTTCGCTTTTGTTAAGGTCTATTGCATCCTGTGTTCATGCTTACTATTGTGAATGAATATGTTCCTTGTAAATGTGTGTTATTTTGCTGTTATAAAATTCATGTAAATATGTATCTATTATTGCCATTATGTCATTGTCATGTTTAAATGTGTGTAAAGCACAAAGGCATTGTTGCCTATTGCAAATTAAATAAATGTCTTATGTAAATGTCTTATGTAAATGTCTTATGTCACTTTAATGTCAATTTTCGTGGATTTCGAATATCAACCAAACGAAGGATTATTTTGTTCATTGACAATAATTATTGCTATAATGCTATCCAAAGGGTTATAAAGATTGCAAACAAATTAAAATTTCGGTCATATTTCAGTTATTTCATTAGATAGTTTATAAACAATTTCAATATCTCATATACTACTTGCATTTTCAGATGCCTTTAATTGGTTTAGAGATAGCTCTTCTTCATTTACAAAGAATCTAATCATTTGAAGATATCTTAAAATCAATCAAGATGTCTTTAGCTCTTTTCAAGATGTAATTTATTCAACCCCTGTATATGCGTATGTAAAGCCAATCTCTTCGTATTTCCGATTGGTATTCGTATTTTCATTTAAAATCACAGAGCTAAAATCTTCCTGTAATCTGATAAATAGTTAATCGAGTGTTTCTGATGAGTTTTACGACATAAAAATGCAATCATAACATGTTTTCATCCATCCTTGGTTTGGTCTTCATGTCTAAACTGTTTAGTGGTTTTTTTTTATAATTTCTGTTTTTAAAAACACTGCCTACTATCTCATAAGATAAAGTGACTAATTCCAAAAAATTCTTCTGAGGAACGGTTCCGTGGATTTTAAAGACAAGGGTATTTTAAGATTGCATTTATTTATTAGATAAATTCAAGTGTTCATGTAGCAAACTTATAAATGCAATGTTAAATTGCTTCTCTGGTGCGTTATGTATTCAATACTGTAATCAATTTATTTCATAGAATTTTACTAATGCGAAATATGTCAACGATATATACACATGTACAGCGATTCCTGTGTACGCAACATGCTCTATAAATGGCGGACACATGTGGCCCACAGGGACCAGAGAATTTGATACAGAAGATATGTTTGGACCAATCCGATATGCAGAGAGCACAATATAAAATTAGTTGCGTTAAAGTTTTAGAGCAACACTTGGTGGTAAAAAATAATAACCGCCCAAATGATGACAGATACACCAATTTAGGGGTGGCATTTTTATCAATTAAAACGTCTGTTAATACCCTCTAAACATCAAAAAAAGTCCAAACTTACAAACTCTAACAAATACTCAGGTCCCTGTGGGAAAAGCTACATGCACTATATACTATTCGCTTTCATGAAATCAATTCTGAAAAAACGTGTTTCTCCTTAAATCCTTTATTTTGTACAGTCTGTAAGTTGTTCTAAAATGCGTTTTTCGATGCACAGCTTTGTGAATAGAGATTAAATTAAACTTGAATCTGCAAATAAAACTGTCGGCTAATAGATATCTTGTAAAGTTGATACACAATTTCAAAATATTTTGTTGAGTTTAAATAAGATGAAACTTTTTTCTTTCTGAGCATTCGACACCCCATTTGGTTTATGAACTCGTTTTTAGGCAATTACTCAATAAACAATCAACAGAAATCCTCACGAGTCATATGTGTCATGTTTATTTCAATACTCCAGCCTGTTCGTCAAATAGAACTGTGTCAAAACGAATCTCAAATGTAGAACTAGTAAAAGATATGCATACAAAGTGGCAAGTCAACTCAACATTGGATAAAGGAGCAACGATATATATCATAACGAATGTTATTTATCTTAAATATTTTCTGATAAGATATCTTAGATGTTATGTAAGACAATACGAGATCACGTATGTTCATAAGACATTTTATATGAAATATATACATATGTAAAATATATAAAAAATAATGTATAAAAAATTTAATTTTTGTTACCTTACATTATATCTTATAATAACAAAAATTATATGAGATGTACTCTACTCCAAATCGAATGACTAGAGAATTTCCGCTGTATGCTTATTGAATAATCGCAAAAAAAACAAGTCAACGAGAATTGCTTCCGAAATATAATTGGCCGTGAATAATAACCTGACGCGTGACGTCATACAATATCACATGTAAAAATGGAACCTTGCTAATCATCCGGCGAATTCCCCGACTTTTAAGTATAATATATTAGGTGAACTGGTATTTTACAAGCATTACTGTTCTCCCTAAAAATCGGGTACATATATATCCGAGACATATCTGTAGTATATATGTTTCTGTGTGCATGTATGTACAAGTAGGTGTTAGCTACTTGACACCATTGAGGTCCAAAAGTCATAGAAGACATGTCGAGTTATCTCCCATGTAGCAGGCAGTGCGTACATCTAAATAGATATTGCGTGTTTCTGATTCTGCCGTAGGTTTCAAGAAAACAGAGTTTACCGTTAGCCTCTAGCGCGTTTAAATAATAGTTTGAAAATGCGTTCGCATTTAACTCGTTAGATAAAAGCAGTAGTTTCATGCATTAAATGCAAACAGTTTGTTTATTTATAGTTTTCTAACGTAAGAATTGTGCAGCTTTTCGTCCAATCGGGAACTATCTTCTCGTTTACGGAAAGTGCCGACAGTTCCCAATTGCTTTTCATTGTCTGAATGTACGGTGTGTGTGGTTTTTCTGTTTTTGTCAGCTCGCCTCACCACACTAGTCATGTCGAAGGGATCTAATGAAACGGTTCAAATCTGTGTACAGCGCCGTCTTACTCGTCTGTCCGTCATTCTTCTTTCTTCTGTTTGGAAACCAAAATGGACAAGAATTTAGATACTGATAAAAAAGGCTGTGTACGCGTTAGGAATGCAGATTAAAGTGTTCAAATTAAAAAGAACAACACCAATGTTCCGTGTCAGGAGTTGATGTTTCATGAATATAATGGCTTATGGGTTTACATTAAATTTGATTCAAACCGCTACCTCACAAATAAGATGAAACCATCCAATCATCGAATCAGAAAGTCAAAGTCCATCAAATTTTTTTCCCATTGATTTTGTCTTCTTTTCATCTCGGGGGGAAAAAAGCCCTTTAAAACTTATCAGCAAATTGGGGTTTCTTTTTCAGATGTCGTATGTCAAATTTTAATTTTACGTCATCATAACGGTTAACGTCATGCTTATATAAAAAGGGGGACAGGTTCGGTTACTAACTCGCACAGTCACGGAATCCACTTTCCGTAATTTAAGTTGGTTCTTTAAAGGATAAGTTGTATAAATCATGGACTCGGAATATCAAAACAAGTGACGATACAGGCCACACAGACCTTTTTCTTCCACACAAGCTACTTGATATTTTGTCGTACATCGTCAATTTATATATGTTTGACGAAAACCAATTAGTCACAAATAATTGTATAGAGGCCAATCAGTTTTCCGGACCCGGTGATGTTTTTCAATTAGTTTATTTTTTGATTATTAAGTGTCTGTGGTTAAACAGAGTCGACATATTCGCGCTGAACATTAAATTACTTATATAGTTCGTGTGATAATTTCGCCTGAAATAGTAGAAAAGATAGTCGCGATTGTGTATAGATACCGCTAAATGATATGTATTTTTGCAATAAATAATTAATACAATTATTACGTAATACGTGCATATGAGTTAGTGAGTTAGTTTAGAAAATAACATGCTATTTCACATGCAGGAACATGCGGCCGGAATACCTCTTGTATGAAAATATCATATAGTGATAAAAGAATATTTTATGTCCTTTTTTAAATTAAAACATCGACGACATAAAAATAAACCAGAACGTGTCTGCAAGATATAGACACCCAACTAAATTAACACTTATAACAACTAAAGCAGATCACATAGGTCATGGTTTCTATGTCGCAGTCACAAGAATTATGTGCAAGTTGTTTTAAAGAGGCACATTATCTAGTTATGTTACGTGACCCGTACTTCATCAATTACTGACCTAAACGCAAAAACTTACTCTGTCGAACAGACGGACGGACAAGACTAATATAACGTGATATGCCCCGCAAAATTTCTAGGCTGGACATACAAATGAGATTATTCAATCAATTAAGAAAGTTTTAAAAACTATGACGTTCATATATTTGATAAGGACATTCTCCTGACCACAAGTGACTGTGGCTGTGATTATACACGTTCAACGCGGGACCGGAATCCAAACGATGTACCCGAGCGTTTTGGACACACCCAATCCATGTTGTCTTCACGAGATCAAAGATTAACGTTCACAGGACCAATATCAAAACGACACGATAGTCATACTGCAAACCAAGGGTTTGGAACACACGAGACCAACGTTTGACGAATGTATCACTAGTTCCATGGCTAGAACTCGTGACACATAAATATGACCAGGGACCTGTTCGTTTATCTGAAACAACCGGTTCGTCTGCTTTAAGGTGTAACATATTTTTTTTGGTATAAATCCTGGCGGACCTGCAAAGGTTTATGCAGGCACTGTAACGCTTTGTCAAGGCTCGCCATAGAACAGTATCTAATTACTAGGTCCGACATTATCTTATAAACGAACAATTCTGGTCCAACCGGCTCAATCGTTTGGAAACAAATCTCCGGTCCCAGTTGGATGGAAAATGGAACTTTTAAACAGGAAGTCTAACCAACGTCAGCGAGACGGACAACATAGGTCACAGTGACCTA